AGTCTGTCAAGGCCATCAAGCAGTCCTAGAGCCAAATTCGCCCATCGGAGGATCCTGCATCTCCAGAAATAGGCCTGCCTCAACAAAGATGCCAGGCTTATTCACAGGCTGGGAGCAGCCCATGGGAAGCATAGACTCGCACTGTGATGAATTTCCAAGGCAGCAACTGAAACCCTGGGTCACTCATGTTCCTTGCAGTCAGAGAGACATGTTCTTGTGGTCACCACCAGTATTATTCAATGCAGATTCTTTGGCAAACCATGTGTTATTGTTTCTGAAAAGGCAAAAGTGGGCAGAGAGAGAGAGTGTGTGCACGTACGAGCACAACAGTACACATAGATTAGGAATACAAAGATACGATCTGGGCATCTTTTAGGTTATATATTTGTTTTAAAAATGGAAATGAAGTCCTATGGATGCAAAAGGATTCCATATGAAATTCTAAGATGATTCTCATTCTGATTAAGAGCAAGTTATAAAAACAAACAACTTTTAAAAACTAGTTTTAATAAATCTTTTCCTATTTAGAGCTGACATTCATGAACAATTGATCATAGGTTTCCTTAAAATTTATTATTGTTCTTTTCTTCCTCTTTTTCTTTCAGTATACACAATTAAAAGGTTTTCGGCTTCTTTTTGGTCTTGTTAGAGAATCCGAGAAAAACCACTGATCTTCTTCATCTCTAAAATGTATATATATCCATACATATTAAAGGGTACAATTCCAAAGAGTTTATGGGCCCTTTAAGGCCCATCAAAGAAACAGTGCTTACATTTATAAAGCTATTAACCTACATGATTTTAAACTATTTTATAATTTTTGGACTACATACTTCTGTGGATTAAGATAAACAACCAGTTATTGCTATCGAGACCTCTGGCTTTTTAAATTCACAATCTCAGTGCACACTAAGGCCTCATTCATCCAAGCTAACCTGAATGGGGAGAGTCTATGTGGCTGCACGTTTAAATACATAAATAAAATGCGTATTTGTGAGAGAAGTTTCTTCTTATTCCTTCTCTTCTGCATACGATATGCCCAGTTTGGGATAGAGGTTCACATGCTTAAGTCAATTTGATTATGCATTAGGTCTTTACTTTTAATATTTTTAAATTGAATATTATACTACAGTTGTAGGTCTAGCACTGTGAGTTCTGTTACCTCACATTTGGCTTTCTTTTCCTTAGTGAATGTGTGTTTTAGGCTCTCTTCTCCTCTTAGTAGATGGGCATGTTCCCTCTTGCTTTCCATAGCTCATCAATGTATCAACCTTTCCAAGAGAAATGATAAATTAGAGAGACAAACTGTGAAAAAAAAAGGGACGGCTCTCATAAAAATTTGGTCACACGCTGAATTCACTTGAGCCTGTATTCTCAGGCAGAAGCTATGTGAAATTCAACATTCATCACACAACCGGTGCTGGACCCACACAATACCTGTGCGCGATGGGGTGAATTCATTATGTCTCAGGAAACTGACTCTTTCTCTAGCAATGGATGTCTTCAATTACTCAGTCTCCAAAGTGCCTGCCCAGCCTCACAGTCTCAACTCTCTATTTCCTTTCTTTTGGGGGTTACAGCCAACACTTCAACCTGGCAGATTTTTCTCTAGTTTAAAGAACACGGTAAATGACAGAGGTCTGGAATAATGTATTCCCTCCAAAGCTGGTGACCAATTAGTTGCTTGCCATGGACTGTCATTTCACTGCTCTGAGTGCTGTGTTCTTGTAGCTTGGTGATAGACACACTGTTTATTTTCCACTTAGCAGTCTTTGCCAATACTCCAAGTCCCACACAGCTGCCTTGATGCGCTCTCCTGGATAGCTCATGACAAGGAAAAGATAAAAGGTATGTGTGGCAAAATGGTAACCCTGAGCAAACTTATCTAGGGTGCAAAGCAAAGAGAATAGTGATTTTACTACCTCACCTTTTTATTTTAATGCTTTTCAATGAAATTGTGGGAAATGCCAAGTCCATGAGGTTAATGCTCAGACATAAGTACTGTGGCTAAAGACTTTGTGAGGGTTATTAAGCTGTTGACAATATGAGAATCAGACACATTCACCACTGGTTCAGTAATTGTCTTTCATCTAGGAGCAACTTCCCCTCTCCCCCCCACCCAACTTTTATGATTCATCATATTTATTTTTTGTTTCCTCAAGCAACATCTTTTATTAGTTGCACACTCACTGCAGAAATTTAATTTCTGCAAGAGAACAACAAAGCAGTTGATTATTATTATTGAGAATCTGGTACAACATCGAGTGAAATAAAATCTATAAGGCATTAAAATGACAGATTAGGCGAGAGCTGTATTCATTTACAAGTGTTAGAACATCATGCTAATGCCTCACAAGCACAACATAAAATGAAAATCAACTCTTTCATGCTGCTTTACGAACAAACGCTGCGAAGCTCCCAGGAACACAAGCCAGAGCCTCCGTTAAAGAGGCAATGTCCTTTTGTAGTTTGCTCATAAGTTCATCCTTGACAAACACAAATAAAAACACTCCTCTCTTATGCACAGCCAGAAGCGCTCCCTGCTTATCCCTTGGTCATCCCAAATTAAACACTGCTAATCCCAGTAAGATTTAAAGAATTCATATGTACCTCATTGTTTTTTAATGGAGAGTAACACTTCACTTATTAGGCAAACTCTATTCTTTCTATCCCACCTGGAAACCAAAGAGAAAGCGGAAAAAAGGGGCCCAAGAATCAGCAATTCAGGGTTATTATTCCACAACATCAAGTCCCCATAATTTATATGTACTCTAATCATTCAGAGCCTATTAACTCTTACTTTACACACAATATTAATGCTTTTATTTCGTGAGCTGCAGCTCAATGCAGATAAGAAGCAAATTACAAGAATGCTAGAGATCATCAGGCTAAAACCTCTAAACACTAGACTGGTTATTCTAGTAAGAAAAGAGCCACAAAAATATAATGGACAGAATGTCTCAAAGAATCTTCAAGGCCACCATACCTGGGGGTGACATTGCTCAGAGAACAGAGCAAATAAATTCTGTTTACAGTATTAACACAAGCCTTCCAAAAAGGACTAAATGAGTTCCATATTCTCTTTCTTTCTTGAAAGAGAAGTATGTAAAACAGTTCAAAGGAAAGTCCATCAAAATTGTTAAAATAGTTGAAAGGTAAGTTTTTAAGTAAGGAAGCCAAAATTTCACATATGCAGATCAATTGATTTTCCAACAATATTGTATAAAAGTGGATTGCTCATATATGCATATATATATTTGGGAATACATCTAATGTGCTTTACTATATGTTATTGATTATATGTGTAATTACTCATAGGCTAGATAAACGATATAATTTATTTGTGAACTTTTAGAGAGTCATCTCAGATTCATTTACCATTTAATTCTCAGAAAGCAATTTCAGATGTCAGAGAATTTTATCCTGGAAAAGAGAACATCAAAAAGTTTCATTTCTGGGGTTCTACCATGGGTGGCAATTAAATAATGAAGATCATCAAAGTGACCCTATTAAATATCTCCTCCTAAGACAGTAGACAGAAGTACTGGCAAACAGTACAGGGTATGCAAACTCTCATCAACAATACGTCAAATATCAATTTGCATGCTACACCCATTCCTCAGGTGGTGCCAATGAGATATGCTGACATCTGTATGTCACACATAACTCCTAGAGCAGGGGTCCCCAGTCCCCAGGTTTCAGACTGGTACCTGTCCATTGTCTGTTAGGAACTGGGCCGCACAGCCAAAGGTGAGTGGCAGATGAGCCAGAGTTACTGTGAGCTCTGCCACCTGTCAGATCAGCAGTGGCATTAAATTCTCATAGGAGCACGAACCCTATTGTGAACTGCACATGTGAGGAAACTAGGTTGTGTGATCCTTATGAGAATCTAACTAATGCCTGATGATGTGAGGCAGAACAGTTTCATTCCAAAACTATCCCACCATCCCCCATTTCTGGTCCATGAAGAAATTGTCTTCCATGAAACTGGCCCCTGTTGCCAAAACAGTTGGGTACTGCTGTCCTAGAGCATGTATGATATTTCCATCCACTCTCTTTCCCTTCAAGAAAGCATGTAGGAATATTAATAAATGGGAATAAAAATTTGACTTGCTACAATTTATTAAAAACCTAGAAAAATAAGCCATGGGAGGATTCTGCTATTTTTGTTATCAATAACAAATTTCTATCCACAGCTTGGATATTGAGGTGGGGGAGGGCTGATAAGGAGGAAGGAGAATGTGGGTGGAGCAGGAGGCCTTCCACTCCTATCTGTGTTGGCAACGTACTTTCACTTCTAAGAACTATAGGATCAGTAATGAAGGAACTGTGATAGAGTTCCTACCTTAGACGTCTCACAAAGTTTGTGAAAGCTAATTGCAATCATATGATGTAGGAAAGGTACTGTAATAAGATAGTATTCATGTCAAATACAGGGCCCTGACTTTCCATAGTCTTTGTATCAAAATTTCTTCTCTTACAGGCTTGTAATTTCCAGAATTCCAACAAACCCCCATCACTTTGAAGATAAGTATGAAATTGTGTATGCCTTGTACCATACATAAGTGTCCTTGGAATTAATGATGCAATCTATCCTACATGATGAGGCAAAGAATGAACTGGCAAAGAATCATCGAATCATGGATTTTACAGCCAGAATACAAGTCTGACAGACATGAGCTAAAATGAAATGAGTGAAAATGTGAAGGAACATCAATATGGGTGGTACAAAAGGATCTCAGGCATATGGTTGCACCTAAGTTGTAATAAAGAAGCAACCATCCCCTGAGGTGGGAGGAGAAAAAAAAAGAAAGAAAGAAAGTGAAAACACATGAATTTGAGCTCTGGCCTTGTCCCCACTGACTGGCTTCTAATTTCTTGAACTTCACCCAGGCTGTGTGTCCAACAGACCACATGGTGATTGCTAAATTGCTCAATGACCACAAGTTACAACCATGGGGAAAATATTCATGAAAATTAACATCCCATTTAATACTCACCATGCTTCCAGCCAACACTTTGTGTACCAGAAAGTCCTCGAACTGGCTCCAAAACTTTTCAATTCCTGACAAATGCACTGGCCCCTCTCCAAGGAGCTGGGCAGCAATCTGTGCTTTATGCTGGTGTGTGGTGGTGGCAGTACCACTGGTGGGAGAGCCCGGAGGTGGAGGCGTTCTTCTCAAGTAAGAAAGATCTGAAGACCAGTGGCCTTGGGGATGCACCCAGGCACCAAGAACTCCAACTCAGCACAGCAGGGGGCAGGTTCTTAACTGCTTTCAATTTTCCTAAAATGAAGGGCATATAATAAAGTCTGGATCTATGAAATAGTAACAAATGTTTGATTAATTTTGTTCATATTAGAAATGAACATTTACATTTACATTGATTTTTAGAGTATTATTTCAGAAGATTATGGCATCTTTGGAAGCAAATCTTCTAAACTATGAATCCTTCAGGACTTTCTTAAAAACAAAAATGACCACACTAATAAAATCAGTCTTGTCTTCTTTGTATGAGCTTGCACACAAACTCTGGACTTTCCTACATCCTTCATATCACATATACTTTAATCGTAACTCTATGCCATTAACTTCAAAAAACTGTCCTTATCCTATTAAATATACACTGGGAGGACCATACTTGTTAGTGCAGTCACTGCATGTCTACTCTTCCTCCCACACACACATCCTTTTCTTAACTACACTAAGAAAATATAATTATTTGCATTCTTCAAATATTCTCAAAATTCCTTTACATACACATTCTCAGGAAAAAGTTGGTTTTCAGGGAAGGCTGAACACAGTCAAGATCCATTTGACTCAAGGCCTGATTTTGTTTAGGCTGTGTCATTTTCTCTGAAGTACTAGGTTTGCACAAATGATTGTTACCAATGGCACAACCATCAGGTAAAGTGTGGGGTGGTGTCTTTCAGCTCTTCACATTCTCTTGGGTCTTGTCTGGAGTTTTGCACATACAATGTATTCATCCTACATACTGGACAATCATGATGATGGCCCAACATGTATTGTAAATCTCACCTATGCAGGCATAATCATGTCTATATTTGGAAACAGAAAAATCTAACTAATGTCAAAGGTGGAATATTCCAGCTGCCACTTTTCTTTCCTCTTACAAAAGAAAATACAGGATGACAACTGTATGAAGATGCAACTGGAAGCAGGAAAACTTTGTTTCACTCCTGCCTCTGGAATTAGCAATGTGACTAATACTGGCCACGTCATATCCTCACTGGCACTCACCTCTAAAGAAGCATTTAGAGTTGATAATTTCCAAGGTCCCTTTCATCACTTAATTCCCAGCTTAAGATAATCTTTTCACCATCTGAAAGACAAAAACATCTCTAGAATATCCAGGTCCTCCACCACATTTGGAACACTGGCCAAGAAAATACTATGGCTTTGTTCCCATGAGACCAATGTTGAAAGTATCTAGATGTTGAAAATCAAAACATTTAGATGACTGATTGACTGAGTTTTCCACTTTAACTTCTTTTTTAATGTTTTGGTGTTATCTAGAACAGCTCTGAGAACGCTGCCAAGAGTTTCTTAGTCTCTTTCAGATCCTTGTACCCCCTTTCTTAAAGGTGTTTAGAAAATAAGGGCTCTCTTAGTGGCCTCTGTGAAGTCTCATGGTAACTGCAAGCCTAAGTGTAAGAGGTCCTTCAGGAGCCTACAAACAGCTTGCTTTCCTGAAAGTGTGGTTCTCCAGCACCATGCAGTGATGACTCACCAGGCCTTATACCAGCAGAGCACCATTTTTAAAGGAGGCACATAAAAGAACCATGCTGTCCAAGTAAGCACACCTAAAACATTCTAGGTATGTAAAATAACCAATAAAGAGCGTTCTGAATCATAGTCCAAACATCATCCTTTAAAAGCACCATAAAATCAACCATCCACTCCCACAACTAGTTGTCATAGACATGATCCCAGTGCTTGATGGACTTTAGGAAAATTGACTCATTTGATGATCTCCACGCTAGGATATGTTGTAAGAAATTTTCAGTGAGAAACAAAGGAGGGATAAATAGGCAATAAGTTATGAAAGATGTTCTGATGAAGCTAGCTTATTAAGTGAATATAAGAGGCTGTTCCAGGAATGTAAATAATTAAATCAAAGATAATATTAGCTATAGTAAAAAAAAAAAAAAAAAAAAAAAGTGCTCTGTTTTGTGGAACCTCTATTTCCCTTTACTTGCCTTTAATGGACTGGTGAATTTGTCCATTATTGACCTATAGCCATGGGGCTCACTTGCTTAGATTACATATAAAGACAGCCTTTTATCACATGGGAATTGGAGCAGATATCTATATATCACCTGTGGGACAGGTGATAAAAATGGAATGCTTAGAATTTGTACTCTGGAAACAAAAAGGCTCAAATTGCAATCTTTTTTCCTTCTTTTCAACTCTGTAACTTCATACAATCTATGAAACGCTTGGTGCCTCAGTTTCTTCACCTGTAAAATGGGCTAACAATTTCTATGACACATTGCTTGATAAAGCTTAGATGATATATGTTAGACATAGTACTTTGCACTTACAAAATGTTTAATATGTAGTAGACATTTAAATTATCACTATTTAGAAGGTTAAATGTATAGTCGCCTTACAGAGTAGTTAAGGTACTGGGGATGGCATATTTGTATGTGAATTACAACCAAATAAAGTCTCGTTCTGGATGGAAAGAAGTGACTTAGGCTCATGTCCATGTGGCATTTGTATCACAGGGTAGCTGAGGACAGAGAAAAACAAACAGAGGCCCAGAACATTGATTGACAGACTAGCCCTCAGCCCCTAAAGAGTCATGGCTTCAAGGATTTCCAAACATGGTTTCTGGAGTCTGAAAAACATCAACCAAGTATGTGGAAGGAGTAGAGAAAGTAGAGGAGAGAAAGGAGTCAGCTACTAGCTGACTCCTGGAATGCGATCATCCCAAATCAGACTAGTAGTACAAAAAAAGAGTCAGTATGAGGAGCAAGATGTGATGTACAAAATGAGACGACAGGAGCACCCGTGCTTTCCAGGAAAGCTCCTGAAATCATCTTAGTGGTAGATGGTTGATGGTTGAAGATAACCAGTGAGTGAGTCTTTTTAGTTAGACAGCATTAGAGGCCTGTGCAAAGTAGGAAATGAGAAAAAGTGGTCTTAAGTCACTCTGCAGAATAACTTTACAGGAATTTTCAGTTTTCCTCCCGTAGGCTTGGAGGACTGGAGTAAGGCTGGAGACTTGAGGGGAGAACAGATGCTTGTAAAAAGATTACAGCAGGAAGAACAAACCCCAGTTTAATGGTCAGGGACTTAGTCCCAGGGAGGATACACCCTGCAATGAGGATGTTCAAGGAACTGTTAAGAGCAGTGATGTCACATGGTCAATTTAAAGATGTTTTCTCTTCTGTGCTGTAATCCCTCTCCACTACTGGGACATCATCAATAAATGCATATTATGTGTAATAACTCAATTTTGTGGTACTTGAGAGAATGATGACAGTACTCATTAGCATAGCCGAGCATTGTGGAGAGAGTTCAGAGAAAGCAAGAATTTAGGGTTTGAGGTGCCTGGGAGAATATAGCATTACCTGTTTCCAAGTCTCTGGAAACCGTGGGGAAATCCATAAATTGGGGGTTGGAGCCACTTTAGTTTTTATCTTAATGAACAGAATGTCATATGACTGCTGAAAGATGTTCGTGGATCTCTAAGAGTTGTCTGTTTGGACAAGGGTAGGAAGTGGTGTTGCAGGAGAGCAGTTCTCATCCACCGTGAAGTTTACTATGAGGGTCTCCTGATGTCAGATGTCAGGGTATGTGGGGCCAAGGATGGAGGTCTCAGGAAGGCTTTTTGGGAAAGGGGTAAAATGAACCTGAACAAGCCTAGAATAGATACACAATGGACCCTGATTTTAATTTGAGTTGAGTAACTCAACCACTTCCTAATGACAAATGCATTCTTTTGCTCAACAGTTTGAATGTACCTACCCTCTCTTGAGAACTCGACCGTGTCAGGAGCTTAGTAGTAGAGTGGAGAGGGCATAGACTTTAGAGGTGGAGACCTGGGTTTGGATCCTGACTCTGTCACTTGCTAGCTGTGTAATCTTAGACACCTAGTGAACCCTCTGGGCCTCAGTTTGCCTATTTGTAAAATGGGAAGATATTCTCCCAATGTAGGGTCTGGTGAGATGTAGCACATTGGTTGTGCTTAATAAGGGACGGCTGAAATGATTTCTCTATAAATGCCATTCTAGTCTACCCTGTGCACAGAGCCCTGTACCAGCCACTATAGAGACGTTCCAGGTAAGACATATGACCTCTGCCTTCAGTCAGTTCCAGTGAGCTAGAGATGAAAAGCCATCTATCAACCCCAGGATCGTAGAGGGGCAGAAAGTCATCATTTTCCCTTCTGCAGCAGCTTTCCTCTGCTTTGGACTTTGCTTTGGACTTCCTTAAAAAAAATCCTTTATAATTCTAGCGAAAGCTCCCAAACATCACTGTTTGCTATATAATTTTTTAAATATGCAAAAATATTTATCATACATATTTTATAAAAGATCTATGAACTTTAAAGTGGAAAAATAATTCTAAGTGGAAGGGAAAAAGAGCCATTTAAAGGCACAAGATTTAAAATAAAACTTTAGAAATAGCAGTGTAGGAGGGCTTTTTAAAAACATCATTTTAGGCTGGGCGCGGTGGCTCACGCTTGTAGTCCCAGCACTTTGGGAGGGTGAGGCGGGCGAATCATGAGGTCAGGAGATCGAGACCATCCTGGTTAACATGGTGAAACCCTGTCTCTACTAAAAATACAAAAAATTCGCCGGGCGTGGTGGCGGGCACCTGTAGTTCCAGCTACTCAGGAGGCTGAGGCGGGAGAATGGCGTGAACTCAGGAGGTGGAGCTAGCAGTGACCCGAGATTTCACCACTGTACTCTAGCCTGGGCGACAGAATGAGTCTCTGTCTCACAAACAAAACAAAACAAAACCAAAAACAAAAACACGTCATTTTATTTAGTATTTCTTTGAGAAAATTAATGATCTGAACAAGGAGAAATATTAGCACTTTTTTGACACCTTCCTTTGCACGCTCAGAGACTGTGCTGTCAAGGCCGAATATTACAAGAACATGCCGTGAGAAATAATGCACCAAACGTGCCTGCAAGAGGGAAGGTTGTCCCCTCAGGGTCCTGGACTTGGAAATCATCTGATGGCCCCTCTGAGGACACACATCAAGGCCCAAGATGGTCTTTGAGCAGGGCAAGGGTCAGCGGGGAGAAGGGTCTCACGTGCCACTTGCCATATAATTGCAGACACTGGCATTCATTTCTCAGCCTGGGCAAGGAGGTGGGGAAACACGTTGTATGGTCTCATTTCCTTTGGCTTACCAGTCCCCAAATCACTCTCCCCAGAATGTCAGCTTTACTTACCAGAGCCATGGTGAAGGGCCTGAATCCATGAGGGAGAAGAGTCACTGTGGCTCAATGAGAATCCTGTTGACCAGAGACCCAGCCTAGACCACACAGATACTTGGCACAGGCTGGTTCTCTCAGGCTCTGAGGACATGCTGAGATCCCCAAGTACAGAAAAAAGGCCTGGCTCTGCCATGCCAACTCTGTAGAGTAACACACACATAACAGGATGCGATGATTGTTGTTTCAATAGCCATGAGAGCAACTATTATATTCCATCTGACTAATGGTGCTTTATTTTTTTCTGATGCTTTTTGGACAATTTTATTATGTGAAAGTAGACTAAGCTTGAGCTGGAACCTTTCAAATCATAACATGGCTCAGAGAATGTTGTCAAACACCATGACTGCACTGATATGTTCATTATCTCCACATGACATGCTGTGTATTAGGTCAGACCATATGAAATTGCTATTTTTCTAGATCTCATCTGGTCAAATATTGGTAATTTCATATGGCTCATTTAACATCTGTTTGTATGCCAATATCTATTTCTCACCCTAAAGTGTAAGTGCTGTGAGAGTAGGGACTTTGTTATGTTTACTGTTGTATCCCTGGAGCTTAGAACAGTGCCTGACACAGAGGCAGCATTCAGAAATATTCACTGAATGAATGAATACATGAATTCATTGATTTCTAGTGAAACCCTATTATGTGCCAGGCACTGTGCTAAGAATGAGGAATATATGAAAAAGGCAGTCTTAAAGAGCTTTGAGTTCTCTTGGGAAAAATAGATTTAAATCAGTACCTAAAAAACTAATAGGCAAACAAACACTGGGACAAAGGGTAATGCAGGATGCAAGGAGAGAAATGAACGCCAGCGTCTGCAATTATATGGCAAGTGGCACGTGGGGCCCTTGCCCTG